TTTCAACAAAACTACAGACACAAATAAAAACATATAATTTAAGAAAAATACAGAGAATCGAAGTGTAAGTTCAAAATAAAGCTCAATAAAAGATTAAAAGAAAAAAAAGCCCAACCCTTTTTTATATCAGGATTGAACTTTAGAATCGCTGACTGCTGCTGAAGAATCGCGGGCGTCTGCTGTTGTTGCCGTAACCCGTATGTGCGTCTATGGTCTAGCCGTCTGGGGCTCGAACAAACGGGGACGGTCAGAAAGCAGGGGATGAGAAGGTGAAGACAGTGCCGGCAGAGGCGGAGTGGATGGAATGGGTAACCGGTTGAGTTGGGGAATGGATCAAAATTGGAATAGGTTGAAACTTGAATGAATCATAATCATGTTATTGGGCTAGGTAATGGACTTCACTTCTTGGCTAGGCCTGGGCATTTGGAAAGTTATAAAAAACAGTTGGGCTTTGTGATGAGCCGCCCATAAGTTCAGTGCGAGCCTGTGCCTGCACTTGACTTCATTGGGCTCCGCCCCCGGCAACACCACCCAAATTCACCCCTTTTCTGTAGACAACTTGCCATTCTGCTTTGAAATTTAGGAATTATCACATGGAAGGGACCCACATACAATAAAATATTCGTAAAACCCCTTTATGTGAGGGAGTGTAATTCATTGTGTACATATATCATTTTCCTAAAATTTAATATCCAAGTGCTGGAAGATATTTCCCAGCATAAATCTCACAAATAATATAAATTGGCCTAGTTTTGAACTCAAAGTCCAAGGTAATAACTCAAATTTCAGAAAACCCAGTTAAATCAAATCATATTTCAGCAAATAAATAAATAAAACTCAAAAGAATAAAATACACATTGTTAATTGTAAAGAAACATTAATTGTAACAAAACCTAAAGACACGTTGTAATTACTTATTAAAAATTGTTGCAAAAAACTAAGAACTCGTTTGGTTTTCCGTTTTCTGATTTTAGTTTTCAAAAATATCCAAAACTTGTTTGGTTACTCGTTTCTAGAAATACATTTCCGAAAACAAGGAAAAATTTATAACTGAAAACTCAAAACAATTTTTTCCATTTTGAGTGTTTTCAGTTAAAAAACTCAAAACGCTCAAAACACATCATTTTCTTTTCTTTTCTTTTTTTTTCCTTTTTTATCCAGGGGATGCTCAAAATAATCAAATTAATTGAATAAATGTCATAAAACAATCTCTAAACATTTATTATTTATTATTTAATTTTTGTAGCAAGAAAAATATTAAATTCATCAAGTTTAAAATATATATTATTTGGTAATATATTAGCATAAAATTATTATATTTTACTAAATAATCAAATTAATTGAATTATTGTCATAAAACAATTTCTAAAAATTTCAAACTAAACAAATTTTTTAGTTTTCTGTTTTGATAAACCGTTTTTCAAAATAACAAACTAAACACGTTTTCTATAATTCGAAAATAGTCCCTCCAAACATAAAACTAAAAATGAATTCAAAATTGAAAACACAAACGTAAACCAAATGCACCCTAAACAATTTACCTCAGTCCTCAAACACTGCAGCTGGAGCCTGGAAGTCAGAAGAGCCAAAGAAGGTTTGGCCAAGTAGAAAAGAAGATATTTGTAATAAAAACAATGTTTCAATATGCTGCACAAAAGCAGAAAATAAATGTCACGGTTTTATCTCTTCTCTCCATCGACCAAATCTGTGCAGTAATTAAAAATTTAATTTCTATGAAAAATCATAACAAATAACAGATAATTATCAATTTGGGAGGTCAAACTCAGCTACGTTCCCCGGGGGGGGGAGAGAAAACGACCTTGTCTAATCAACTGGATAGAAGTGAAATTTTGATTGTGACCAAAAAGCAATAGAGGTAACACAAACCCTTACAAAGCCATTGACTATAAATACACATTTCTTTTTAGACAAAAACAAATATACACTTTTCACTGTGACTGCAAATAAATCAAAACAAAAGATTAATCATAATTAGTCACTGGTTTAGTCAATGTATAAGTTTTAAATTTTACTTACCTGTTATATCAAGTACCTGGGGTCTTGGCATAGATATTGGAGCAGTCTCTATTTTTATTTTTTTTCATTTCTTTATTACAGAGAAAACAGTGCTAAAAATGCTCAGTTGGCCAAACTTTCAAGAGAGGAAAGTCTCTTAAACCTTATGCTTCATATAGATGAGAAGAAAATTCTTCTTGTGGCAATGCTAAAAATTCTCAGTGCCCAACCTCCCTTCTCTAATATCATCAATGGTTGTATGTTGTATTAATAACTTCATATCAATATATAACTGGGGGTTAGGTGAACAAAAGCAACAGGCCAAGGTTTCTGCTGAATCTCCAGTGTAAGTAATTAAGTAATCTCTAACTTTTTAGACTGCTTTTCTCCTTAACATTAGGATTAGAAAATTTGACTTATGTTGAGCTCAAAACATATGGATTTAGGTCAAGACTTTAGAATTGAAGAAATTGAAAAAAATGATTTGAAATCAATCTGTGATGTAAATATGTAATTTACTCAATGTTCAAGCATTTTGGAGAAATCTAATAAATAAAGCTTATTTCTTGTTCATAGAGGAAGGTACTTGCCACTCCATTTGGATTTTTACTTTACCTTAAGTGTGATAACCAGACTGCTCTACATATTCACTCGTGTCTCTCAACCGTAAGTGCCAAAGTATAATTTCCTCTAATCCCAGAGTTGAAGAAATAGCTGCAGTACTTAGAAGAGTGTTACCTTGCAATGCTTCTTGTCCATTTCATTACATTACAAGTGTTTCAGAACCCCATCCAGTGCTTTGAACATTTAACCAAAAGCCTCTAACATTTTCGGTGGACCAAATAGTTCCCATTCAGCAATGTTTATGGTAGATTAGCTAAAGTTTTAGTTCTATACTGCAATGTCATTTCAATAGCAATATCAGGCAAATTGCCAGTAATTAGTAATGCTACATGCAACAATAGGCAAATCGCCAGGCCATTTCAACTCAGACTGTTGCAACTTTATTATTCGAAGATATAATGTACAGATTGCAGTGGCAAAAGTAAATTGCTGAATCAACTACAAAAGAAGTTTCAGTCACAAAAAATTTAAGCAAACAAAAAAAAATGATTCCGAATTCTTCCATGCAAATAAATTAAAAACATAATCATTGTATATCATATACAACAGAGTGACAGTTAAAACAAGGAAAAGAAATTGTGGTGAAATATGAAATCAAATTTGCAAAAGGAAAAGGCGAAAGCAACCAGAACAAAACATAACAAAAAAATAAAAAATCTTCTTCTCACATATTTTAATGGAGAAAATTTGAAATTCACCCTAAAAAACCTAAACTTTAGGCTTACATGTTCTTCTTATATCTAATACCACTTGAAATCGAAGTGTTGGATTCTTGGGGAATTGCAAGAGACGGCTAAATCCTGAAGGTTTCCAAAATTTCACGGTGTTTCCGTGAGAGAGGGTAAAATTTGGGGCTTTGTATACAGGATTTTTAGCCCGGCTGGTTCACTAATAACTGGTCTGGCGATTTTCCAGAAAATGGGCGGTTCAATGGGTTAAGGATGGGTTAATTGCACATTGCTATAAATAAGTCAGCCGGACCGGAACTGGTCTCGATTCGCTGGTTTCCTGTGGGTCTTATAACATGAATGAACA